GGTCAGTCAATAGCATGGTGATTGCTCCACCTAATACCGGAATAGCTAATATTAACAAAAATGCCGTAATTAAAATTGACCAAACAAATAGGGGTATTTCAAATAATCCCATATTATCGGTTCTCATATTAAAAATGGTAACTATCATGTTAATTGCCCCAAGAATGGAGGAAAGACCAGTGATGTGTAAGCTTAAAATAGCCATGTCAACAGCTGCTCCGGGGTGACCGACCAAATTGCTAAGAGGAGGATAAAGAGTCCAGCCTGTTCCAGGTCCTCCATCAACAAAAGCTGACAAGATTAATAATATAAAAGCAGGAACAAGTAACCAGAAACTTATATTGTTTAACCTTGGGAAAGCCATATCTGGGGCGCCTATTAAAATTGGTACGAAATAATTACCAAATCCCCCAAACAGAGCTGGCATAATCATAAAAAATACCATAATTACTGCATGGGCAGTAATTAATACATTATATAGTTGATAATTTGTCCCTAAGAGATGCCCACCAGGCACTGCCAATTCCAATCTAAAAATTACAGAGAATAACCCCCCAACAATTCCTGCAAATATGGCAAATATAATATACATTATGCCGATATCTTTGTGATTGGTAGAAAAAAACCATCTCTTCAAGCCATAGGGTATAGAATGATGATTAGAAGTTAATTCAGAAACAATCGTATCTTGAGTTGTCATTGTTATTATACTCCACATTCGTTACACTGTTTGCGGATTTGATTTTAATCTAAAATTAGTCATTTAGGATTAAAATGGTAATTTTAATCCAGGTGGTAAACTAATGTTACCAAAAGCATCAGATATAGAATTTTGCGAATCTTGATCAACTTTATTTTTAGCATCATTAAAGGCTGCTACAATGAGGTCTTCTAATAAATCTTTATCATCTTCTTTAAACAAAGAATGATCGATGGAGATTTTTTTAGCTTCAGATCGACCATTAATAGTAATAATTACTAATCCTCCGCCAGCTTTACCCTGGTATTCGGTATTAGCCAATTGCTCCTGAGCTTCTTGCATTTTCTTTTGCATTGATTGCGCTTGCTTCATAAATTGATTTAAATTTACCATAATACCCATTATTTAAGTTTTTAACAAAATATCTGAAATATCAACATTTGGAAAGTGTTTTGTCAACATTTCCCAATCTTCACTAGTTTTTACGCTGCTCATTAATTGTTTTTTAAAACTGATTATATTTTGCTGTTTTATAGTAACAACATTCCAAGTTTTACCTGACCAAGCAAATAATAAATTAACAATTTGCTCCTTTATTTTACCATTAAGATCGTTACCAGCAATTTCCATAGTTGGAAAAGAAAAAGTTCTTATCTCCACTTGATTTAATAACCGATAATAAACCTCTATTTCTTTATGTGCATGTAAAAACTCCAAAAAGGAAATAATTTGATTATAATCTGTTATATTTTCACTGGATTGATTTGCTATTGGACATTCTGAACTTGTTAAGGTTGCGTTATTATATGAATAAAGATCAGTTAATTCTTCCGGCAATGGTAACATTTGTGAATAGATAGATTTTATAACCAACATTTCAGCTTCCATTAATTGGTTATGAGTTGTTTTCATTTCTATAATACCTTTACTATATATTTGCCAAATAATAGATAATTGAGAAAGAGTAATTTTTGTCAAAATAGCAGTAATCCTATCACTAAAAGATGAATATACAGGATCTTGATAACCAGGTAATATCTTTGCTTTAGTAAGATAAGCAACAAACTCGCTAACTAAAGATATAAAAAGCTCTAAATTCGCTGAAAGATTATATAGATGATTTACTAATTCAATTGATTTATTAGCCTCTTTGTCAATAATATATTCAAAAAACTGAATAATATTAGCCGTATCTACCAAACCAAGTATTTGACAAATATTACTTGCTGTTATAGTCCCTCCTGATGCCAAACTAGCAGCCTGATCGAGCACAGAGATTGCATCTCTAGCCGAACCATCAGATTTAGAAGCAATTATTCTTAAAGCATCTATTTCAACTTGCAATTGCTCACTTTTGGCAATTGATTGAAGTAATTTAAAAATCTCCTCAACAGTAAGCCTTCTTAAATCATATCGTTGACATCTAGAAATTACAGTTAGTGGAATTTTTTGAATCTCGGTAGTAGCAAATATAAATATTATATGTCTAGGTGGTTCTTCAAGAATTTTCAGTAAAGCATTGAATGCACACTTAGATAGCATATGCACTTCATCAATTATGAAGATAGTATATTTGCCAACTAATGGCTTATATTCACTACTCTCTATTATTTTGCGTACATCATCGACACTGGTCTTGCTAGCCGCATCTACTTCAATTATATCCGGATGATTGTTTTTATTAAAGCTAATACAATTTTGACAATTTTCACAAGGTTTAACAGTCTCGTCAATAACTATCTTATTATTGCAATTAATAGTTTTAGCGATAATACGGGCTGAAGTAGTTTTACCGACCCCCCTAATACCACTTAAAAGATATCCTTGCGATATACGATCTTTTAAAATACTATAAATTAATACTTTAGTTAAAACATCTTGCCCAACTAGTT